GCGGTGCGCTGACTGCAATGGTAGAGGAGAATCAAAAACAGGTAGAACAGCTTTGCGCGGACCACGATCAAGCCCGTGCTACAATGCAAGCTGAACTTGTTGCGCACCGAGAGATGCGCAACGCTCGTATAAATGAGAGGCTATCACATCCAGAACTCTGCGATAGCGCTTCACCGCAGATGCCACCGCCAAATACTGAAGTGCCAGTGGCCCCTGAAATAGTGCGCAGCGAACCTCTCTACAGCGTCACCATCGACGAGCTCAACAAGACAACAACACTCAACGAACAGTTGACGCGCGCCCTTGCGCAGAGGGAGGCTGACAATGAGAAGCTCGCAGAGGACCTCGCACAGAGGGAGGCTGACAATGAGAAGCTCGCAGAGGATCTTGCGCAGAGGGAGGCTGACAATGAGAAGCTCGCAGAGGATCTTGCGCAGAGGGAGGCTGACAATGAGAAGCTCGCAGAGGATCTTGCGCAGAGGGAGGCTGACAATGAGAAGCTCGCAGAGGAACTTGCGCAGAGGGAGGCTGACATCGAGAAGCTGACAGATGAACTTGCGCAGAGGGAGGCTGACAATGAGAAGCTCGCAGAGGACCTCGCACAGAGGGAGGCTGACAATGAGAAGCTCGCAGAGGATCTTGCACAGAGGGAGGCTGACAATGAGAAGCTCGCAGAGGACCTTGCACAGAGGGAGGCTGACAATGAGAAGCTCGCAGAGGACCTCGCACAGAGGGAGGCTGACAATGAGAAGCTCGCAGAGGATCTTGCACAGAGGGAGGCTGACAATGAGAAGCTGACAGATGAACTTGCGCAGAGGGAGGCTGACAATGAGAAGCTCGCAGAGGATCTTGCGCAGAGGGAGGCTGACAATGAGAAGCTTGCAGAGGAACTTGCACAGAGGGAGGCTGACAATGAGAAGCTGACAGATGAACTTGCGCAGAGGGAGGCTGACAATGAGAAGCTCGCAGAGGATCTTGCGCAGAGGGAGGCCGACAATGAGAAGCTGACAGAGGATCTTGCGCAGAGGGAGGCTGACAATGAGAAGCTCGCAGAGGATCTTGCACAGAGGGAGGCTGACAATGAGAAGCTGACAGATGAACTTGCGCAGAGGGAGGCTGACAATGAGAAGCTCGCAGAGGATCTTGCGCAGAGGGAGGCCGACAATGAGAAGCTGACAGAGGATCTTGCGCAGAGGGAGGCTGACAATGAGAAGCTCGCAGAGGAACTTGCGCAGAGGGAGGCTGACAATGAGAAGCTCGCAGAGGATCTTGCGCAGAGGGAGGCTGACAATGAGAAGCTTGTGGAGGAACTTGCGCAGAGGGAGGCTGACAATGAGAAGCTCGCAGAGGAACTCGCACAGAGGGAGGCTGACAATGAGAAGCTCGCAGAGGATCTTGCGCAGAGGGAGGCTGACAATGAGAAGCTTGCAGAGGAACTTGCACAGAGGGAGGCGGTAATTGAGGGTGCAGAGGCGGACGCGAGTAAGACAATTGAGGGTGTGTATAGCCGCTGTCGTGAACTTGAGGAGCTTGCTGCGAGAAGGGAACTTGCTGCTACGGGTGATGTGGATATCCTGGAGCGCGAACTGGCGGACGCTCTCGTCCAGCTGAAGGCGTTGGAGGGGGAGAACGCTGCCCTGGCTGCGCTGCTCGCTGCAAAGAAGGCCGAGATGGTGGAAGCTAGCGATGCAGCAGGGAGGAGCGTGAGGGAGCTGGAGTCCCGTTTGTCCGCGGCGGTGTCCGAGGCGTCTCATGAACGCGCGATGGCGGAGAAGCTCATTAGCACCACACGCGGTGCGCTGACTGCAATGGTAGAGGAGAATCAAAAACAGGTAGAACAGCTTCGCGCGGACCACGATCAAGCCCGTGCTACAATGCAAGCTGAACTTGTTGCGCACCGAGAGATGCGCAACGCTCGTATAAATGAGAGGCTATCACATCCAGAACTCTGCGATAGCGCTTCACCGCAGATGCCACCGCCAAATACTGAAGTGCCAGTGGCCCCTGAAATAGTGCGCAGCGAACCTCTCTACAGCGTCACCATCGACGAGCTCAACAAGACAACAACACTCAACGAACAGTTGACGCGCGCCCTTGCGCAGAGGGAGGCTGACAATGAGAAGCTCGCAGAGGACCTCGCACAGAGGGAGGCTGACAATGAGAAGCTCGCAGAGGATCTTGCGCAGAGGGAGGCTGACAATGAGAAGCTCGCAGAGGATCTTGCGCAGAGGGAGGCTGACAATGAGAAGCTCGCAGAGGAACTTGCGCAGAGGGAGGCTGACATCGAGAAGCTGACAGATGAACTTGCGCAGAGGGAGGCTGACAATGAGAAGCTTGCTGAGGACCTCGCACAGAGGGAGGCTGACAATGAGAAGCTTGTGGAGGAACTTGCGCAGAGGGAGGCTGACATCGAGAAGCTGACAGATGAACTTGCGCAGAGGGAGGCTGACAATGAGAAGCTCGCAGAGGAACTTGCGCAGAGGGAGGCTGACATCGAGAAGCTGACAGATGAACTTGCGCAGAGGGAGGCTGACAATGAGAAGCTCGCAGAGGACCTCGCACAGAGGGAGGCTGACAATGAGAAGCTCGCAGAGGATCTTGCACAGAGGGAGGCTGACAATGAGAAGCTCGCAGAGGACCTTGCACAGAGGGAGGCTGACAATGAGAAGCTCGCAGAGGACCTCGCACAGAGGGAGGCTGACAATGAGAAGCTCGCAGAGGATCTTGCGCAGAGGGAGGCTGACAATGAGAAGCTCGCAGAGGATCTTGCACAGAGGGAGGCTGACAATGAGAAGCTGACAGATGAACTTGCGCAGAGGGAGGCTGACAATGAGAAGCTCGCAGAGGATCTTGCGCAGAGGGAGGCTGACAATGAGAAGCTTGCAGAGGAACTTGCACAGAGGGAGGCGGTAATTGAGGGTGCAGAGGCGGACGCGAGTAAGACAATTGAGGGTGTGTATAGCCGCTGTCGTGAACTTGAGGAGCTTGCTGCGAGAAGGGAACTTGCTGCTACGGGTGATGTGGATATCCTGGAGCGCGAACTGGCGGACGCTCTCGTCCAGCTGAAGGCGTTGGAGGGGGAGAACGCTGCCCTGGCTGCGCTGCTCGCTGCAAAGAAGGCCGAGATGGTGGAAGCTAGCGATGCAGCAGGGAGGAGCGTGAGGGAGCTGGAGTCCCGTTTGTCCGCGGCGGTGTCCGAGGCGTCTCATGAACGCGCGATGGCGGAGAAGCTCATTAGCACCACACGCGGTGCGCTGACTGCAATGGTAGAGGAGAATCAAAAACAGGTAGAACAGCTTCGCGCGGACCACGATCAAGCCCGTGCTACAATGCAAGCTGAACTTGTTGCGCACCGAGAGATGCGCAACGCTCGTATAAATGAGAGGCTATCACATCCAGAACTCTGCGATAGCGCTTCACCGCAAATGCCACCGCCAAATACTGAAGTGCCAGTGGCCCCTGAAATAGTGCGCAGCGAACCTCTCTACAGCGTCACCATCGACGAGCTCAACAAGACAACAACACTCAACGAACAGTTGACGCGCGCCCTTGCGCAGAGGGAGGCTGACAATGAGAAGCTCGCAGAGGACCTCGCACAGAGGGAGGCTGACATCGAGAAGCTGACAGATGAACTTGCGCAGAGGGAGGCTGACATTGAGAAGCTGACAGATGAACTTGCGCAGAGGGAGGCTGACAATGAGAAGCTGACAGATGAACTTGCGCAGAGGGAGGCTGACAATGAGAAGCTCGCAGAGGACCTCGCACAGAGGGAGGCTGACAATGAGAAGCTCGCAGAGGATCTTGCACAGAGGGAGGCTGACAATGAGAAGCTCGCAGAGGACCTTGCACAGAGGGAGGCTGACAATGAGAAGCTCGCAGAGGACCTTGCGCAGAGGGAGGCTGACAATGAGAAGCTCGCAGAGGAACTTGCGCAGAGGGAGGCTGACAATGAGAAGCTCACAGAGGAACTTGCACAGAGGGAGGCTGACAATGAGAAGCTCGCAGAGGACCTTGCGCAGAGGGAGGCTGACAATGAGAAGCTCGCAGAGGATCTTGCGCAGAGGGAGGCTGACAATGAGAAGCTGACAGAGGAACTTGCGCAGAGGGAGGCTGACAATGAGAAGCTCGCAGAGGACCTTGCGCAGAGGGAGGCTGACAATGAGAAGCTGACAGAGGAACTTGCGCAGAGGGAGGCTGACATCGAGAAGCTCGCAGAGGACCTTGCGCAGAGGGAGGCTGACAATGAGAAGCTCGCAGAGGAACTTGCGCAGAGGGAGGCTGACAATGAGAAGCTCGCAGAGGAACTTGCACAGAGGGAGGCTGACAATGAGAAGCTCGCAGAGGAACTTGCGCAGAGGGAGGCTGACAATGAGAAGCTCGCAGAGGAACTTGCACAGAGGGAGGCTGACAATGAGAAGCTCGCAGAGGACCTTGCGCAGAGGGAGGCTGACAATGAGAAGCTGACAGAGGATCTTGCGCAGAGGGAGGCTGACAATGAGAAGCTCGCAGAGGAACTTGCGCAGAGGGAGGCTGACAATGAGAAGCTCGCAGAGGAACTTGTGCAGAGGGAGGCTGACAATGAGAAGCTCGCAGAGGACCTTGCACAGAGGGAGGCTGACAATGAGAAGCTCGCAGAGGACCTTGCACAGAGGGAGGCTGACAATGAGAAGCTCGCAGAGGAACTTGCGCAGAGGGAGGCTGACAATGAGAAGCTGACAGAGGAACTTGCGCAGAGGGAGGCTGACAATGAGAAGCTGACAGAGGAACTTGCGCAGAGGGAGGCTGACAATGAGAAGCTCGCAGAGGACCTTGCGCAGAGGGAGGCTGACAATGAGAAGCTTGCAGAGGAACTTGCGCAGAGGGAGGCGGTAATTGAGGGTGCAGAGGCGGACGCGAGTAAGACAATTGAGGGTGTGTATAGCCGCTGTCGTGAACTTGAGGAGCTTGCTGCGAGAAGGGAACTTGCTGCTACGGGTGATGTGGATATCCTGGAGCGCGAACTGGCGGACGCTCTCGTCCAGCTGAAGGCGTTGGAGGGGGAGAACGCTGCCCTGGCTGCGCTGCTCGCTGCAAAGAAGGCCGAGATGGTGGAAGCTAGCGATGCAGCAGGGAGGAGCGTGAGGGAGCTGGAGTCCCGTTTGTCCGCGGCGGTGTCCGAGGCGTCTCATGAACGCGCGATGGCGGAGAAGCTCATTAGCACCACACGCGGTGCGCTGACTGCAATGGTAGAGGAGAATCAAAAACAGGTAGAACAGCTTCGCGCGGACCACGATCAAGCCCGTGCTACAATGCAAGCTGAACTTGTTGCGCACCGAGAGATGCGCAACGCTCGTATAAATGAGAGGCTATCACATCCAGAACTCTGCGATAGCGCTTCACCGCAAATGCCACCGCCAAATACTGAAGTGCCAGTGGCCCCTGAAATAGTGCGCAGCGAACCTCTCTACAGCGTCACCATCGACGAGCTCAACAAGACAACAACACTCAACGAAAAGTTGACGCGCGCCCTTGCGCAGAGGGAGGCTGACAATGAGAAGCTCGCAGAGGATCTTGCGCAGAGGGAGGCTGACAATGAGAAGCTCGCAGAGGACCTCGCACAGAGGGAGGCTGACAATGAGAAGCTCGCAGAGGATCTTGCACAGAGGGAGGCTGACAATGAGAAGCTCGCAGAGGACCTTGCACAGAGGGAGGCTGACAATGAGAAGCTCGCAGAGGACCTCGCACAGAGGGAGGCTGACAATGAGAAGCTCGCAGAGGATCTTGCGCAGAGGGAGGCTGACAATGAGAAGCTCGCAGAGGATCTTGCACAGAGGGAGGCTGACAATGAGAAGCTTGTGGAGGAACTTGCGCAGAGGGAGGCTGACAATGAGAAGCTCGCAGAGGATCTTGCGCAGAGGGAGGCTGACAATGAGAAGCTTGTGGAGGAACTTGCACAGAGGGAGGCTGACAATGAGAAGCTGACAGATGAACTTGCGCAGAGGGAGGCTGACAATGAGAAGCTCGCAGAGGATCTTGCGCAGAGGGAGGCTGACAATGAGAAGCTCGCAGAGGACCTCGCACAGAGGGAGGCTGACAATGAGAAGCTTGCAGAGGACCTCGCACAGAGGGAGGCTGACAATGAGAAGCTCGCAGAGGATCTTGCGCAGAGGGAGGCTGACAATGAGAAGCTCGCAGAGGACCTCGCACAGAGGGAGGCTGACAATGAGAAGCTCGCAGAGAACCTCGCACAGAGGGAGGCTGACAATGAGAAGCTCGCAGAGGACCTCGCACAGAGGGAGGCTGACAATGAGAAGCTCGCAGAGAACCTCGCACAGAGGGAGGCTGACATCGAGAAGCTGACAGATGAACTTGCACAGAGGGAGGCTGACAATGAGAAGCTCGCAGAGGACCTCGCACAGAGGGAGGCTGACAATGAGAAGCTCGCAGAGGATCTTGCGCAGAGGGAGGCTGACAATGAGAAGCTTGTGGAGGAACTTGCGCAGAGGGAGGCTGACAATGAGAAGCTGACAGATGAACTTGCGCAGAGGGAGGCTGACAATGAGAAGCTCGCAGAGGATCTTGCGCAGAGGGAGGCTGACAATGAGAAGCTTGCAGAGGATCTTGCGCAGAGGGAGGCTGACAATGAGAAGCTTGCAGAGGAACTTGCACAGAGGGAGGCGGTAATTGAGGGTGCAGAGGCGGACGCGAGTAAGACAATTGAGGGTGTGTATAGCCGCTGTCGTGAACTTGAGGAGCTTGCTGCGAGAAGGGAACTTGCTGCTACGGGTGATGTGGATATCCTGGAGCGCGAACTGGCGGACGCTCTCGTCCAGCTGAAGGCGTTGGAGGGGGAGAACGCTGCCCTGGCTGCGCTGCTCGCTGCAAAGAAGGCCGAGATGGTGGAAGCTAGCGATGCAGCAGGGAGGAGCGTGAGGGAGCTGGAGTCCCGTTTGTCCGCGGCGGTGTCCGAGGCGTCTCATGAACGCGCGATGGCGGAGAAGCTCATTAGCACCACACGCGGTGCGCTGACTGCAATGGTAGAGGAGAATCAAAAACAGGTAGAACAGCTTCGCGCGGACCACGATCAAGCCCGTGCTACAATGCAAGCTGAACTTGTTGCGCACCGAGAGATGCGCAACGCTCGTATAAATGAGAGGCTATCACATCCAGAACTCTGCGATAGCGCTTCACCGCAGATGCCACCGCCAAATACTGAAGTGCCAGTGGCCCCTGAAATAGTGCGCAGCGAACCTCTCTACAGCGTCACCATCGACGAGCTCAACAAGACAACAACACTCAACGAACAGTTGACGCGCGCCCTTGCGCAGAGGGAGGCTGACAATGAGAAGCTCGCAGAGGATCTTGCGCAGAGGGAGGCTGACATCGAGAAGCTCGCAGAGGATCTTGCGCAGAGGGAGGCTGACAATGAGAAGCTCGCAGAGGATCTTGCACAGAGGGAGGCTGACAATGAGAAGCTCGCAGAGGAACTTGCGCAGAGGGAGGCTGACAATGAGAAGCTCGCAGAGGACCTCGCACAGAGGGAGGCTGACAATGAGAAGCTCGCAGAGGACCTCGCACAGAGGGAGGCTGACAATGAGAAGCTCGCAGAGGATCTTGCACAGAGGGAGGCTGACAATGAGAAGCTCGCAGAGGATCTTGCACAGAGGGAGGCTGACATCGAGAAGCTCGCAGAGGACCTCGCACAGAGGGAGGCTGACAATGAGAAGCTCGCAGAGGATCTTGCACAGAGGGAGGCTGACAATGAGAAGCTCGCAGAGGAACTTGCGCAGAGGGAGGCTGACATCGAGAAGCTCGCAGAGGATCTTGCACAGAGGGAGGCTGACAATGAGAAGCTCGCAGAGGAACTTGCACAGAGGGAGGCTGACATCGAGAAGCTCGCAGAGGATCTTGCACAGAGGGAGGCTGACATCGAGAAGCTGACAGATGAACTTGCGCAGAGGGAGGCTGACAATGAGAAGCTCGCAGAGGATCTTGCACAGAGGGAGGCTGACAATGAGAAGCTCGCAGAGGACCTCGCACAGAGGGAGGCTGACAATGAGAAGCTTGTGGAGGAACTTGCGCAGAGGGAGGCTGACATCGAGAAGCTGACAGATGAACTTGCGCAGAGGGAGGCTGACAATGAGAAGCTCGCAGAGGATCTTGCACAGAGGGAGGCTGACAATGAGAAGCTCGCAGAGGATCTTGCGCAGAGGGAGGCTGACATCGAGAAGCTGACAGATGAACTTGCGCAGAGGGAGGCTGACAATGAGAAGCTTGTGGAGGAACTTGCGCAGAGGGAGGCTGACATCGAGAAGCTGACAGACGAACTTGCGCAGAGGGAGGCTGACAATGAGAAGCTCGCAGAGGATCTTGCACAGAGGGAGGCTGACAATGAGAAGCTGACAGAGGATCTTGCGCAGAGGGAGGCTGACAATGAGAAGCTCGCAGAGGATCTTGCACAGAGGGAGGCTGACATCGAGAAGCTCGCAGAGGACCTCGCACAGAGGGAGGCTGACAATGAGAAGCTCGCAGAGGATCTTGCACAGAGGGAGGCTGACAATGAGAAGCTCGCAGAGGAACTTGCGCAGAGGGAGGCTGACATCGAGAAGCTCGCAGAGGATCTTGCACAGAGGGAGGCTGACAATGAGAAGCTCGCAGAGGAACTTGCACAGAGGGAGGCTGACAATGAGAAGCTCGCAGAGGATCTTGCACAGAGGGAGGCTGACAATGAGAAGCTCGCAGAGGATCTTGCACAGAGGGAGGCTGACAATGAGAAGCTCGCAGAGGAACTTGCGCAGAGGGAGGCTGACATCGAGAAGCTCGCAGAGGATCTTGCGCAGAGGGAGGCTGACAATGAGAAGCTCGCAGAGGATCTTGCACAGAGGGAGGCTGACATCGAGAAGCTGACAGATGAACTTGCGCAGAGGGAGGCTGACAATGAGAAGCTCGCAGAGGATCTTGCACAGAGGGAGGCTGACAATGAGAAGCTCGCAGAGGAACTTGCACAGAGGGAGGCTGACATCGAGAAGCTCGCAGAGGATCTTGCGCAGAGGGAGGCTGACATCGAGAAGCTGACAGATGAACTTGCGCAGAGGGAGGCTGACAATGAGAAGCTCGCAGAGGATCTTGCACAGAGGGAGGCTGACAATGAGAAGCTGACAGATGATCTTGCGCAGAGGGAGGCTGACAATGAGAAGCTTGTGGAGGAACTTGCACAGAGGGAGGCTGACATCGAGAAGCTGACAGATGAACTTGCGCAGAGGGAGGCTGACAATGAGAAGCTCGCAGAGGATCTTGCGCAGAGGGAGGCTGACAATGAGAAGCTTGTGGAGGAACTTGCGCAGAGGGAGGCTGACAATGAGAAGCTCGCAGAGGACCTTGTACGGAGGGAGGCTGACTGTCATAAGCTAGTTGCTGAGCTTGATGTGATTGAATCCAAGTTGAACAGTGCTATGAGTGGTCTGCACGTGTTTTCATCGGGTGATGGTGGTGTGATTGAGATGCTGGAGGGGTATATGGAAAGGGCCTCTTTGGTGAGTGGTGCTGAAAAGGATGCACTTGAGAGGTTGAGTTTAAGTAATAAGGAGCTTGCAATGTTGAGATCTGATTTCTTGGCTGAAAGGGATTTGATGTCGCGTGAGATTGAACTGGAAAAGGCGGAGAAGGCGCGGCTTTTAGGGGAGCTGGAAGTGACTCAAAGAAATCTTGAGACGTTGAAAAACGCACCTGTGGTTGCATCCGGGGAAAATGAGCTTAGCGTACTGCGTCAAAAGATTTGTGACCTAGAGGAAGTCGTTGATGTGAAGAATGCTCATTTGGAATCCTTGAATGAGCGTCTTGAAGGTCTGGTGGAAGAACTCCACGACAAGCGAGAAGAGTTGTTTCACGTGATTGGCCAGTTAGATGACTTTGTCGTAAAGTTCGAAAAGGCTCGTGAGGGGGAGAAGGTTGCTGTTGAAAAGCTAGCCGCACGTGATCAAGAACTCTTTGAATTGGAAAGAATGCATAGGGAGCTGCAAACGGAGCATGAGCAAATTGTGTCGCATCTCCAGAAACAGGTGGAAGAGCTTCGTGCGCAGCAGTCTGACGATGCAATTGCACTTGAAGATTTGAAAAGTGACATTAAAGGGCTTCGCGGGTCTTTGCAAGAAGTACAGGGAGCTTTAAGGGAGAAGAATGACGAAATAAATCGTCTGAAGGAGGAGATACTTGCTCAGCAGGAGGAGGCGCAGGCTCTCATCGACGAGCTCGCGGAGGAACGGGATCAGAAGTCCCTGGAAGTGAGTGACTCATTGAAAAAGCTGGAGGAGTTTGTTGAACTTATGGAGGACGCCCGTAAGTGCGAAGAAGAGGCGCTTCAGCGAAGTGCGGATGCGGAGCGATCGCTTTGTAGGACACAGGAGGAATTGGAAAGGCTTCGCACGCGGCAGGTGGAAGGACGCGATAACCCCAAAGCTTCGGAGTTGGACACACTGCGTGCCGCACTCGATGAGGCCTGCGACGTGAAAGAACACGCAGAGGAGGAAAACAAGAAGTTGAAGTTGTGCGTGAGGCTTCTGACGGATGCCCTGTCGAAGAATCAGAGTAGGTTTACCGCGTCATCTGGTGTGCTGGAGGAGGCCTGTGATGCCCTGTCAAACATGCAGGAGGGATGAGAGCTCAGCACAGCACCGCCCCCCGCCTCCACAAGAAAGAAAAAGAAAAAGAAATAAATAAATGAGAAAAAAAAACTTTTGTTTCGTTTTGTTTGTTGAGAAGAAATGCGTTGACAAGAGACCCATGATATCTAAAAACTGAGATGCCGCTCCACGGGACACGGATCATGTCGATATTCCTTCTTTTAAAGCACTGTAGCTGCCTCCAATGAAAACTGAAATTGAGCGGCAATTCTTTGTTCTTTGCCTTCTTTTTGTTTGTTTGTTTTCGTGTTGGGGGGGACGGCTGTTATTTAGAAAAGATCCTTTTGTTTTGTTTTGTTTTTTGTCTAAGGATAATACCCACACCCACACCAACCAACCCCTCCGCCTTGTCTAACACCATGTCATCCGTGAAGATTACTCTGTTTCAAGGAAAGTTCAGGCTTGATCGTCTTTTGGGCAAAGGTGGTTTTGGCGAGGTGTATGCTGGCGTGCAGGTCTCTACTGGCGAGCCAGTCGCGGTGAAACTTGAGCGAAACAAAGGACGGTGTTTTCTTTTTCATGAAGCGCGTGTGATGCAGGATATACAGAACTCTATGCCAGGCCGTACCACTCCTGGCATTCCGGAACTGAAGTACTTTGGCCAGGAAGGAGACTTTAGGATCCTCATCATGTCGCTCCTCGGACCATCACTGGAGGATCTTCATGCCAAACTTGGACGGTTCTCACTTAAAACAACAGTCATGCTTGCGGATGAAATGTTATCACGCCTGGAGTTTATTCACTCAGTTGGTTATATACACCGAGACTTAAAGCCAGATAATTATCTTTTGGGAGTTGGTAGGAATGTACGTCACCTCTACCTGATCGATTTGGGCCTCAGCGTTCGTTACCGTTCAACCAATGGCGAGCATCGCGAGATGGCAACAGGGAAGAGTTTTGTTGGTACCTCACGCTACGCCTCTCTACGTACACATAAAGGCTTTTCACAAAGCCGTCGTGATGATATGGAGCAGCTTTCATATATCCTTATTTACCTCTATCGTGGGCATCTCCCGTGGTCGGGGCTTCGAATGAAAGATCGTGAGGCAAAGGAAAAGGCAATTGGTGAGATCAAGCAGAAACTGACGACCGCACAAATATGTTCCAAGTGCCCCTCGCAGTTTGAAGACCTGCTTAATTATTCTCGCAAACTGGAATTTGCAGAGAGTCCACAATATGAGATGTGTCGAATTCTCATTGCGTCTGTTCTTGACACGATTGGACCGAATGTAAAGCACGATTTCCAGTACGACTGGGTAAATGTAAGGAAGCGGGATAATTCGCCCCCGCCCCCGCCGCCATGTATTGTGACGCACGAACGAAGGGCGACGGAAAACAAAATAAATCTGAAGAAAGGGAATGAAAACGGGGAAAAGGATGCTGCAACAATTGGATCAAAAATATTTTGCTTCTTTCCTGGATTATCCTCAAGCGCGTCTCAGGAAATGGTTTTGGTGAACGAAAAATAATCCCTCCCTTTTGTTTGTGTGTGTGTGTGTTTCTTTCCGATAGTTTTTTTCTTCTTTTTTCTTTTTTCGCGCCTCCTCCCGATGCCGATATATCGGCGCTGTTCCTTTTTGTCTTTTTATTATTATTGACGATAATCCACGCACTTTTTTGTTGTTGTTTTGTTTGTTTTTTTTTTTTTTTTTGGATGTTCATTTGTTTTATTACGGTTGATTTTTCTATTGATTTTTTATACCCCCATTCGCAACGGTGCGCAGTCATTTTATACACACACTTTTTTTTTTTTTTTTTTACCCGGTTGGAAAATATGAAGACTCCCTCCTCTTTGAATTTTGTTTTTTGTTTTGTTTTGTTTGGGTTTTTTTTTGTTTTTTTTTTTTGTGTGTGTGGAGCTTTTATTCCGCGTTGATAACAGTCAACGCGAAGTCGATGGAGCCCGTGAGTAGCAACAGCGGCGGCAGCAATTACCCCATTGCCTTCATGTACTTTGCCGCGCGGTGGTTGGCGTGTGAGTGTGGGCAAATGTGTGTATGTGTGCTTGCGTGTGCTTATGTACTTTTGGTAGGGGAAATTTGATATGTTTTTTTTTTTTTTTTTTTAGGGGGGTTTCGTTTTTATTATTATTATTAATGCGCACAGACCGTTGAGGAAGTATTATAAACCGTTACGATCTTTTTGTATATTAATATTATTATTATTTATTTTTTTTTTTTCATTTCCTTTCATTTCCTTTCCCCGCATTGTTGGCCGCTCCTGACTCCACTTCTACCCACCCACACCCACAACTCTTCCATGTAAAATACATATATTTATGCACACATACGTATGTATAATTGTTCGCCGGAAGTAAAGTGGAGGGGAGGGGGGAAGGGGGATGCACGCATGCTCGTTTGGCTGATCTCATTACGAAATACGTCTCATTTACTCTTTCCCTCCCTCTCTCTCCCTCTCTGTGTGTGTGTCCCCTTGGAAAAAAGGCAAAAGAAATAATAATAATAATAATAATAAGAAAAAAAAAAACGCCCGCTCAAACCCTTTACCGCACTTTTAGGGTTTTGGCGGTGCCACAATGCGACCGAGAGCCGCAAGAAGCACGATACAAAAGAGGAAGGGGAATGACGAAGAAATGGCCAAATACCATATGTACGCACGCACATGTAGATATCCATCCATATATACCGACATCATCGTCCCCATTTCTAAAGGAAATATATAAAAAGTTTTAAAAAAAAAAAAGGATGTGCCAGAACCTTGTAATCATTAAAATTATTGTAGTCATTCCTCTGTTTTGTTTTGTTTTTTTCTTCTCTTTTTGGGCGCGTATTTTCTGTTCGTTTCGCCGTTGCTCCTCTTCTTCCCTATTAACGTCCCTCCCTCCCTCTCTCTGCGTGTGTGTGTTTTTATTCCTCTGCTTGTTTGTTTTCCTTTCTCTCACACAACACACCACTTAATCCCACAAAAAGGGAAGAAAAGCGCGGCCAAAACAACGCTCGAATTGGATTCTTTCCCGGCCGTTTTCGTCACGCGTGCTGTTCGAGGGTGCCCGGAAATTCGCCAGAGAAGACTGGAAGCAGACACTTTTCTCGCCGCCGCCGGGGTTTCCTGTTTTTTTCCGGCCTGTTTTTTGGCCCGCCAAAGGCGCCAGAGGCGAGGCGGCCAACCATACACCCACTTAGGAGCGACTCGTTTTCGCGCCGCAAAGCGCCCATGCATGCCGCACACGGGCTCGGATCCTCGGCGGGAAAGGAAGCTTCTTTGCGCGCCGGGAAGAGCAGAGAAAAGCGCCTCCGCCCGCCCCGCGCGAGGGCTAGTGAGCAAAAGCGCGACAGGAAGAGACCATTGGCGGAGAAGCGGCGCTTTCGCCGCCCACCGTCACCTCGCCCCAGACGCCGTGGAAACAGTGGACGGAGAGGCCCGTTCACCCAAAAGTAAAACAGCAACAAAATCGCCGATATAAAAGTGCAAACGGAGACCTGCGGCCACACACACAAGATGGGGATTCATGCATCGTGTCCGACTTTTCGCACCGAAATTGGTGGCGACGGACGGTCGCATATTTCTTTTTACCAAAAGAGCGGCATTCAATAGGAAACCCCACGCAAACGTAAAAATAGAATAACACCGTGCACAACAACAATGTTGCGCGTTTCGTGAGCTGCGTGCTGTCGGTGTGGTTCGGTGATCCCGAGGGGGTCGTGAGTGGGCGAGTCGCCCTGGTATCACCGTCTCTTTGGCTTCTGCGTCGAAATTTTATAATGCATGCGGCTTGTCACTTATTTAGTAATTGTACTAGCGGACACGGGAGAAGGGTTCATGCCATTGTGTGGGCGAAGTGGGAGAGGAAAGAAAAACATCTCCACGTGGTGCATTCGGGCCCCCACGGAACCTTTTCTATTGCGTGAAGCGCAGGCTTCTTCATCTCGTCGGCCGTCAACTTTCATTCTTCTGCGTTAAACCCATCCCCCGAGAGATGTTGAGGCCCCACCCCCGCCAGCGGACGCATTCCGTCGCCTCCGATCAGCATCGTGCGGGCTTTGCGCCGCCCAAACAAAGAAGGCGCACGAAGCAAAATTGTTTCGGCAAAACATGGGAACGGAACCACCGCTTTCCCACAACCAACGTGCCCCACACTCCTCGGGTCAGAAGGCCCTGAAGCCACACCCTCCGCAAAGACGCCAACCACGTGCTTCATATTTTCGTGGTTCCTTGTGGACGTTGACGTTGGCGTGACGTTACAGCGCACCCGCCATCGGGCCACGGTACGAACACAACTGGACGTGAGAAAAAAAAGAAACGCAAATGAGGCTGAGGGGGAAATAGTCGTGGGAGAGGGGCGAAAGAGAGGGAACACCATAAAAGAGCGCATCCAAAAAGCCCGTGGGCACCATTCAAGGCACGCTCGGTCCGGGCCAAAGACACATTTGCCCAAACGGGGGCACAAGGAGCAGGGCAGCGCCAATTAATTGGAAGAGAACCAAAAGAAACGCGAACAGCGACGCCCCAA